ATCATTTATCATCTAGTCATGCCATGTTTTCTAAACTCTCGCCATTTATCTCGAATGTATTGTAAAACTCGCACAAAACTTTTCCCACAACTATTTTAATCCTATTATCTTAAAAGAAAATTTTAGTTGTAAAATTTGTCAAACTAAAGAGTGAAAACGAACAAATGCTAATGGAGAAGCGCTACTGAGCGCATTAAGTATTATTTTGTACAACAAATATTGTATCTCTATTATTTATAAGTAATAAAAATAATTAGTTTTTGTAAAATTGAAACATATTTTCAATAATTAAGAAAGATAAGTTGTCATGAAAAGATATGGGAAAGATTAATTAATTGGTATATATTTATTTATAGATATACATAATGATATTACGATCTCTGTGAAGGTGCAAATATGAAGAATGTTTTAAAGAGAAATTCTAACCGTGCTTTGTATACGAGGTCTATACAAAACAAATCGCGATTATTGAATTTCGTTTATTCATATATCCGATTTTAAAATGCAGATTTTGATAAGATTTTAGTCGTCTTTCACCTCTGCGTTGGACCTTTAGATTATATATACAGATTCTTTGCTTATTTTCTTAAAATCGTCAAATATCTGTATACTATGAATATTACTATTCTAAAACATTTGGAATTATCCAATAACTAAATATTAATTCCCTGGAATTATCCAATAACTAAATATTAATTCTTGGCGATCCTCTCTATATACAGTTATATTTTAAAGATGCTGAGAAATAACTCAGTGAGCTGCCGATTGTCACGGTTCTTCAATGAATTCGTTTGCGATCGGATAGGCATTGAAGTGAAAAGAACCGATGGTTCTTGCTTATGTTGAGAGCTAATTATAGTTACATATATGGCATTGGCTAGTCATACAAAGATTTGTGTCTCACTCGCCATTGGTCTCTCCGCAAAAGGTGTTACTCTGAAACTCTCAAATATGAATATGATCTACTCTCAATAACGAAGTCTGCATTGGGTGGCTCTTGGTATATATTTTACAGATAACTTGTTTACATTTTATGAGTAATTTATTTCTATGTACTTATGATGATATGTACTCATATCTAGAAAATTTAATTTTTTTTATATTATATCAACAAAATCCATATTATTGATATGAGAGGCCTGTTGAAAATTGTTTGCAAATTTTTTAATTTAAAAAAGATTTAATTTAAATAATGCATGCCATTCAAAGTAATCCACAATAGATATACACATATGCAACTTTTTCTTTCAGCCCTCGAAGCATTTCAAATAATGTTAACAGCACAACCTCTGGCATGTATATATTATCTATTCAACATAAATTTAACTAATAAGTAATATTTAATAGAAGTATTAATGGATTCAAAGCTTTACAAAATTATTTTATATATAGTTAAAT